CGGTAAAATTCATTCTTTACCCGATGTTAATCTGTGCATGATTATATACTCTCTATGTTCAAAGATTATTATAAAAAATAACAGATCAGTTGGTCTTGCTTGGTTATTTTGAGTTGAATTTTTTAGATATCAATCCCACATGGAACGGCCTGTTAGATTAATTTTTTAAAAAAAATATGCTCAATTTTTTGACTTGAAAAATATTGGATTATTTAAATAAGCCTATTTGATTCGAATATGTTAGATAGTAACCTAATATGAATATTATTTCTCTGAAATTATGAATCTGTTTTAAAAAAAGCATAGATCTGTGATATGATCTGAAATTGTTTAAAAATATTACAGTTTGAAATTGATTAAAAACGTCGCTGGATTCAGTTTAAAGTATTTTTAAAAAGTATTTGTTTATCTGCAATCATATTATAATAAGGTTATTTGAAAGAGTAGAATGCCATTATAGATTGATTTCGGAATCACTTGTTGTGGATTAAATTGAAAAAAAACAAAATCAATGATTTTTATTGAAAACGGTTTAAATGGAAATTATAAATGAAAAATAGTTTAAATTCATTTGAAAAATATAAATCAAAATCAATGATTGTTCAGTAATAATGTGAAAGTAGATTAAGGTTTTTAGTAATTGCCATTTCCGTCCACTAATCTAGTTGAACTAACCCTTATAAAAAAATTTTTATATAGAAAATCCTCTATAAACAGACGTTAACATCTAAATAAAGTATTAATATATAACATATCTAATTAATTTAAGAATTATATTTATCTATAAATAAAAAAATTGTAGAATTTTAGCGTAAAACTGATCTGTTTGATTCATTAACACAAACCGTATATATACACGTTTACATAACGGGCTAGGTTACATGTGGGCCCAATACAATTAAATACAAACCAAATACAAATACCCGCTAACACTCCCCCTCAAGTTGGCGCATGAAGATCCTGAATGCCCAACTTGCACAATAAAAAATCAAAACTAGGTTTGCCCAACGGCTTAGTAAAAATATCGGCCAACCGGTATCGAGTAGGAACATATCGTGTCGACACCTCATGCCGCTGGACACTTTCTCGAACTGTGTGACAATCAACATCCACATGCTTCATTCG